CCCCTTAGGCGGAGAAGTGCCAGGCAACAGGTCTATCGCACAGTCGTACGGGCGGTGTGGAGACAGAGATGATGCTCGGGACTAACTGAAAACCGCTCTCCAGTCATGGTAAGCCTCCGGTACATCCGCCAAATTCACCTCCTGCAACACAGAACGAGACCTCGGGAAGGCATGTCACTCGCCGCTCCTGACACAGCTTTATTGATGGACTCAAGAGGAAACACGCTCCTCCGATGTCGAGAACGGAGAGCAATCCGGTTATCCCTGCTGTAGCAGCGACAAAGCTCGTGCTGCCTCGGTTCCTCGAGCAGAGTGATCGAAAACCTTACGTAGCTCCTCCGAGAAACTCTCAAATGAAGAACAGCAGTGATAACAACGTGAACACGGAACACACCAAACAATCTACTCACAAGGAAGGACAAGAAAGCAGAGGTTATGAAGAGGGGAACGAGCGACAGGTAAGGGAGAAACAGCACGGAAGAGAGGAACGAGCGACAGGTGAGGGAGAAACAGCTCCCCTGCTGCAAGATCAGCGCTGATTGCCCAGGTCACGAGCTGCCGAAAGTGACGGAACAACACAGACAGCAGGGGGAGCCAATGAGGCACCCTGAACTGTGACAGTGGTGAGTAGATTCTGTCAGCTCCTCGGGATAACAGAGGACTCAAATGCAGAGAAGTAGGTGAAAAACTGAGATTTATTTCTCACGAGGCAAAACCTGATAACAACGTGAACACGGAACACACCAAACAATCTACTCACAAGGAAGGACAAGAAAGCAGAGGTTATGAAGAGGGGAACGAGCGACAGGTAAGGGCACAAGCTGCTGAAAGTGACAGGACAACACAAACAGCAGGGGGAGCCAATGAGGCACCCTGAACCGTGACAGCCTGCATGATATTGGCCAAACTACTTTTCAGTAGTCATTACTATTGGCAAGTATGGAAAACAATAGGAAAACAAAGCCAAAGCACGGACAATTTAGGCAATTTAGAAATCCTAGCCAGGACATGTTCAGGAAAAAGAGGATGTATGGTCACCCTATTTTATTAGCTGTACAAAATGGCTCACAATACATGGTGATACTGAACTCAGTCAGTATCAAGTTGCTGTGATTCTTTTCATGTCTGAAGTTACAATGCAACTCCAATTCCTGTGCAGACAGAAATGGCATTTCACTCTTTTTTGGAAGCTATTTATTACACTAAATGTACGGAATGTGATGTATGTGTAAAGATACAACACATACACCTGTTAGAGTCACATTAGAAGCTCAGATATGCAAGCTACATTCAGGCATGAGATAAAGACGTCACAGTTCTAAGCACTTCAAATGGAGATGCTGCAAGCTCCTGGTCAGTGATGTTTGTCTGTTTGCTTTGGCTGCAGTTCTTCTACCATAACAGTGGCGGCTCGTGGGTTTTAAAATAGAGGAGACACACTAATTGTATTGGTCTGGGATCCCTGCCGATTATTATTATTATAATTTGCTTAACCACTTTAAAATGGCTTTTTGGTTGCTTTTAGTCAGAAAACGTAAAGAAAACGACATACATACAGCAAGATAATATAATTTAACTTACCTGGCCTATCACTTGAAGCAAACAGCCATCCCTTCTTAAAAGTCTGTGTTAAAAGAGAGCTGCCTGTTGCGCCATTTAATTAAGCCGACCGCTGTAGCCTATTAGTTTTCCCTAAATTTGTATATACACTGTTTGAATGACAGCTTGGTAAATCTGTTGGCGATCAAATATTCAATATCGCTACTCATCATAAGTACTTGGTATATTATCAGCGCAGCGGCAGACGTTCAAACTAATATCACGTAATTTACGTCTCTGTCATGATTGGTTGATATCAGAAGGGAGGCTAGCCTCCCTTGCGAGGGTTCTTTTCTCAACACTCCTCAGTGCTGAAAGTGAACACTCGATGCTGTTTGGCTAATTTTTTTTACCAACCCTAGAAGAAGGGCTTCTATACTCTTTGGCTCACCTCTCCCCCGGCCTCCCCCTACCCTTCTCTATCATTAGCGGTTGCAATTACATCAGCAGATTCGGCACATTCGCGATAGAAAAGCGGTGCTTTCACGTTATGGTATTACAACTGTGAAATTACAAACAAAAAATACACATTCTGAGACATGAACTGAAATGAATTGTGAATTTTATTAACATTAAATCGTCCTCCTCCCATTTTCACCTCAAAATTATGGGGAAGCTGTGCCTCCCCTGTCTCCCCCGACGAGCCGTCACTGCCATAACAAAAGCTTCTCTGGCATTACGCTGTGTGCATTTTAAAGGCCAGTCATGACTTCACCTCTACAGTTTCACAAGCCTATGGTTACACCTCACATTTGTGCATGTTTGTCAATTGGAAGCTATGTAGTCGAACATTTTCTTGCTGAGGGTCAGGTCATGTTTGTGATACCTCTGTCTCTGAGGCCACATGACTTCAACTGATCTCATAGCTTAGTGGGACATGCAATTGGTTGGAACATTCATGGCATCTCTATCTCACTGCTCACTCTATCTCGTTTCATACACACTGCTCTTCACAAACATGATTAATAATGGTTGGTGCAATATGCTGCAGTAAAGGGATTGTTCAGCCAAAAAATCTATTCACTTTCATGTCGTTCCAAAGCTGTATGTATTTCTCCTTCTGAGGAAATAAATGTTTCCTTCCTTCTGAAAAAAAAAATGTTTTAAATTCCACTTTCATTGTATGGGCTAGTACTTTCACCAAAAATATCTTCTTTTGTGTTACGTAGAAGAAATACAACTTTAATTTTTGGGTGAACTATGCCTTTAACACAACATAACCTCATGTTCTAACAAAGCTACAATTACTCAAATGAAATGTTAATGTTAAAAACAAAACTATTTCACACTTTAAAATGCCATTTGAGACGATGATGTGTGTTTTGTGCACTACTAGAGTGCACTGTGGATGCTTGTTCACCTCAAGCCAGTTTCTGTGTGTGTGTGTGTGTTTGCTGTGAGACTGTTTAATTTTGGAAGTGGTCAATGGAAAATGTTAGTGTTCATGTTATTTAAAGTAGTGGATAGAAGCACAAGTCACCTGGTGCCATGAATTATGACTGAAACATCCACTTCACATTGGATCAACGCCAATATTATGGTCTCGTGGTAGATACGAAAGAGATTAATACTATAACAAGCCTACTGGGCTACAAATGTCAGTTTTAAAGCATTATTTTAAGACAAAAAAAAACGTCACTAATGTGCCTCATGTTAAAAAAATAAATAAATAAATAAAACTTTGACTCCTATTTTGTTTGACAAGTGACATTTTTGGTTGAGGTCCATTGTAAAACTGAGTTTTTCATAATTATTTTATCAACGCCAATATTATGGTCTCGTGGTAGATACGAAAGAGATTAACTATAACAAGCCTACTGGGTTACAAATGTCAGTTTTAAAGCATTATTTTAAGACAAAAAAAAACGTCACTAATGTGCCTCATGATAAAAAAATAAATAAATAAATAAAACTTTGACTCCTATTTTGTTTGACAAGTGACATTTTTGGTTGAGGTCCATTGTAAAACTGAGTTTTTCATAATTATTTTATCTGTTATACCTTATTTTAAGGTGTTTTTGTGTAATTACACAAATATGTACTGATTACTATTAATTGCTTTTAATTATGCATAATTTACTGTTATTACTATATAAGTATACAAGTAATATGTATAACAAAACACTGTAAAATATAAAGTGTTACCATTTTATCTAATTGTTTGTAAAAATATTCATTACAAATGTACAGAACAAGAAGAAAATCCGAGTGAGTCAATACGGTAAATACATTGGGAATCGTGGTTGCGCCCTCTATTGGGTTGTAAAGGTAATATATAATTTACTCACCGTAATGTCGTTCAAAACCTGCAGAACGTTGAGGGTCCAAACAACATTGAACTCCATTGACTTTCACTGTATGGAGGAAAAAATAGAGATTTAAAAAAAATAAAAAAATACTTTTTTCTGTGTGTTCTCCACAGAAAATAAGAAATATTTACAGATTTAGAAGAACATGAGGCTAAATGAAGTGTAAATGAGTAAAGGATAACAGTTTACATTTTGGGTTGAACTATGCCTTTAGGTTTGAAGCTAGACATTCAAGAGCTTTATGGCTGATTTCCATCTTACAAAAAGTCTATTCTGCACAAAAGAATTACATTCTGAAAGTTTTGACCTTTTAAAGCAACAGTTTGAACTATTCAAAACAAAATTATCAGGTGCATTCTTGGCCACAGTTCAACCATTAAGCAAGTCGAGTGTTGATTAATCTGTCAGTTTGCCCTTGACTTAGTCCAGGGCCCCAAGATTCATAAGATCCTTGCAATCAAAAATGCTTTTCCTCTGCAAGCAAAAGAGTAAACGTCCACATTGCCAAATTCCTCAGTGCTGTTTGTTGAGCTTTGCAGGCCTAGTATCCAGGGTTACGGAATTTTGATCGCAAAACCGCTGGACCGGAGCCTGGCAAAACATATTTCCAGCACTTGCTAATCTGAGGAAGGGAAGAAGGAGCGAGAGAGAAAAAAAGAGACACATTCCAAAACAAATTAGATTTAGGATATTCCTATTCCCCCCATTTCTCAAAGCAAGGGAGCACATGTCTCCCACTCAGTATCACTCCGTTGGTAATATATGAGTCTGTGCTCAATAATAGCCTTAAGCTATTTCCATGTGCAGGATCCCACATGGATGACATTAACATTCCATGAGCTTTCTCATATTGAACGTGTGCGCTGCTGTAGTTTGTGCTTGTGGGTGTGAATGTGTGTGTGTGTGCTGTAAACTGTCAGGCCTGGTGCAATCTGTGCATTCTTGGGGTGAAACTGTACTAAATCATTAAAGCAAGCTGTGATAGGCCACTAACATAGGTGGAGACTTGAGAAAAAGCTTATGTGTTTGACGTCAACTTTACATCTCTGCTGTGCAACACTGTTAAAGGATACGACCCAAGAGAATGTATCTGGTCCCATCACATGTCCAAACAGCCTTTTCCCCCGAAGCACAAAGTGACGAGGAAATAAAACCATTCACACAAACTCATCCACTCCCATAACAAACATAGCTATGAAAACAAGCTCTTTTAATTCAACCCTTAAAACACACACTCTTCACAACCATGTCAGTAGGTTTACAAAAAAATATGTTTTTTATATATATGTTAGGTTACACTGTACATAAATATTGATTGCATAAGAAAGGAAAATGAGAAAAAGGCACAGCAAAACAGTATGGATGTCTCAAGTGCTCAAAAAGATAATGGCGGTGGACGCAAGAGGCCATATGAAAGGTCAAAGGTCAAGGGAATAGGGAGTGTATATGTGGTCATTCCTTCACTAGTGCAATAATCATGGAGGTATTCAGCACTTTTGGGACAAAAGTTGTTTGGCACTGCTTTGGTGTCATTTTTGCTGCACTGATCTTGTCCAATTATGCTGCAGCTTCTATGAATCCCGACTAGCTGCCAAAACACATTCTTCTTCTCAAATAGAAATGGCCATACAGATAGGTCATCACCTGAAAATATCTCTGCAAGTTCAGATCAAGGCACTCAGTGGCCGTTTTGGGGGCTGCAGTCCTTGCCCAGTTATTTGGAGACGGTGTTGGCGTTTTCCTGCTTCATGCTCTGAATGTGGGCATCCAGTCTCTGAAGCAGCTCTTGAGACCTTAGCGTTTCCTCCTCCAGAAACCGTGTAGTCACTGAGCCATTTGGAGATCCAGTGGAGTCCTGGAGGAAGAGGGAGGAAATGACCGTTAAGGCTGTTGTGCAATGCTACCGTGTGCATGATTGACATGCATTCTTATAAAAGCAGTGTGTCAAAAGCAACAAAATTCTACTCAAGTATAACATCATTATTTATAGTATTTCCATTCTTGGTGCCCATCTGGTGTATATTGTGTATATGGGTCAAAGGCAAATAACACAAAATATTTAAAAAAATCTTGTTTAAAACATGTCCCAAGGTCTTATAAATGAACTATTTGTATTCATGCTTGTTTCTTATTTTGAAAAATATTCTTACATTTTATAACAAGATTTTAATATTTCTCAAGGTAAAAACATTTTGTTTTTAAATAAAGATCGTGAATTTTCATGAATTAACCACATGGTGTTTTACAAGCTGAATTAACTTTATCTTTTTATTAAACCATTAAATTATCTCATATTTTAATTGACGTTTTGACGTCATGAAGGTCTGCTGTATTGTTTTTTTTTTGCATGTTGATTGCACCACATAACACTGGTTTGGAATGTCTTTATAATATGAATAAGTTTGTCTTAAACTATTTTTTTTCCTAACAAATCAAATAAAAAGTTTGACAAATAACTTTTGTGTTTTTTCTTCATTGTGATACTAAGACAGTTGTATCACCTTGAAATTTTTTTGAAACGAACAAATGGAGACATCATGTCACTGACCCATATCTCTATTACTGACAAAGGCAGAAAGTTGTCTACCGAGCTGGAAGCTTGAGCTTCCTCTCCATTAACCACCGCGCTGAGAAGAGCTGCCATTCTGTGGGCTTTACGGCTTGAAGATGAAGATGAGGCAGACGATGCAGAAGAGTGGGCCGGGGACACAGCCATCCTGCTCTCTTGTGATTGGCCATCGGGGCGACGAGGGGAAGTTCGTGACAGATTCTCAAGCTGTTTGAGAAGCGTCTGTATTTGATCCTCATAGTGTGAAGCTCTTTCCTGCATCCGAGTCTCCATGGCCTGCAGCTCCTCCCGGTGTCTGCACTGTACATCCTCATCAGATCTATGACAGCACATAACAAACTCAACTACATACTGCACTTACATACACTACCATTCACCAGTAATTTTGTTCTTGCATTATGCATATTACATTTTGTATTAAATTGATCAAAAGCAGCAGTAAAGACATTTATATAATTTTTCAAATGTTTTTGTAACATAAATGTTTTACAAATGTTTTGTGTTTTTTATTTTAAATAAATGCTGTTCAACTTTCTATTGATCATAGAATTCTGGGGGGAAAAAAGCAGCACAACCATTTTTATCATTGATAATAAAAAAATATGTCACTTGTTGCTATCAAATGAAGCAAGGAAAGCTGAATTTTTGTACAAAGAGTTCACATGGTCGATGTCACACTTCTGCATAATTAAGGAGTGTTCATGAAATAGTGAAAAATCATAAAAGAACATTTTTAAATCCTAAAATTTTCTGTTTATCCCAAATTGTCACAGTATGTGTTAAGATGAGTGAACATTTTTTTATGTCGAAGTAACATGTACCTGTTCTGAGTGTTCTTGTTCTGATTTTGTAGTAACGCTCTCTCATACTTGTCCTGCCAGGTCTGGTTGTTGGCCTCCATGCGAGCTCGCAGCTCAGTAATTTCCAGCCTCAGCTGCCTATTCTCCTCCTCCAAACTGTTCAGAGATGACACGTAGCTGTCTCTAAGACTCGCCAGCTCTCCGTCACCCCTCTGACAGACAAACAAAGAGAAAATGTGATGAGCAATGATGAAAGCATGCAAAACTCAAGTATGAAATACAAATGAAAACAAATAATCTGGCTTGCATCATAAATTCATCCCTCCGTTTGTAAAAAGTAACAAAAACCATGTTTATAGTAAGTCTATGAGGCAAGGCATTGTTAAAGGTCAAAATACACAATCATGCAACTGATTCAAATGAATAGTGCCAAGACACAGTCAGACACAATTGTGTACAAAGTACATTGTCCAAGTTATAAGCATCTAATCACTCATAACCTTCAAGGGCCCCAGGATGACTTAAAAGTCTTGAAATAAAAATTTTATTTCTATTAAATAACATTCAGTTCTTGAAACTTATAAAATCATGGAGTTTTAATGAATTATGCTTAATTAATTTAATTTATTGACACTGTCAGATCTGTTAATGAAACAAGCTGTTTGAAAACAAGCAATATATTCATTATAATAGCAGAAATCATGGGGCCTTTGAATACTGGACAGTAGGAGGCCTTTGAGTCAAAACGGTTGAGAACCACTGTTGTTACAAACTGAGGGACCAATAACTGTTCAAATGATGTTAATGCAGATGCTGTTAATATAGCCCTGAACATTATTTAAATGTACACATTTAAAGTAAAATGAAGGTTTACTGAGCAAAAGAATGAAACCTTAGGTGATCTTGACTCGACTCTCTCAAAAAGATCATTTAGATGCCGATTCTCAAGCTTTAGAGTTTCAAGCTGGACCTGTGTCACCTACAAAAAACAACATTCAGTTTTTTCATGATATAATAAACCAGTACTTTTAGGTAATAAATAGCAGGTTTTTGATGTTACTAATCTGGACAGGATGAACCTTGAGTTCTGATGCCCGCCGCTCTGCTCGCTCCACTTCTGCCCGTAACTGTCGCTCAATACTGGAGGCGGAGCCAGTGAGCGTGGCAATGGTGATGTCACGCTGATGAAGTTCGCTGGTTAACTGAGACACCTCCTTCCTCATTCCCTCCAACTCCCCACAACGAGTCTGTTCGGCCCTTTCAAGCTCTGCACATAACTATGGAGTTATGGGGTTTAAAGAGTTAAATTTGACCCAATATGTTCATCACTAATTTGTACATACAGTATTTATAAATCTAATAACTCTCATTGTCAGTGAGACAGTTCAGTGTGTTCAAATAAATAAAGCTGGTCAACCACACACTGATAATACATTAAACCTCAAACTGTAAAAAACATATTGCTTATTGTGCGTACACGTTTGTTTTCAGCCGTACAGCGAACGTGTTCCTCCTCCATCTGTTTCCACTCATTTTCTTGTCTGCTCATCTCTGCTTTATGCTTTCTCATGCTCTCCAACCTGACAAAACAAAATAGAGTTCAAGGTTTATATTCCAGAATAAGCTTTCTATTGTTAGTTGCTGCTGCTGTATATTGTCATGAAGAGATATTTCAAAAACATCTCACTTGTCTCGAAGTCTGATGACCTCAGCTTTGAGGTGATTCTCACAAGTCTGGGAACTGTTCAACTTGGCTGTGACTTTCTCCAGATCTTGTCTAAGGGAGGCCAAGTTTGGAGACAAACCATGTGATGCTAAACATTCCTCTAGAGACCTATACAAAGAGATGAGTGATTTGTAAAGCATGGTTGCATACTGACATTGATACCTAGCAAGTTACTTTTGGACTGTAGTTAAATGATAAATCCTACAATAATATTTCTGTGTATGTAAGCACAGAATATTGAAAGGCAGATGATAATATACCTAATGACTTGCTCTTTTGCTTGCAGAGTTTGGTTAAGTCGGGTCACTTCCCGCCGTAACTGCTGCTGCTGGATTCCTGTACTACGTACAAACTGATCCTGAGCATCCAGTGTGGCCTTCAGCTCCTCTCGCTCTTCACTCAAAACCTGCAGAGAATAGCGTTACCATTATTCAATTATTTACATATTTGATATAAAATAGCATTTAGTGCTTTGCTCAGCTATTAATGCTTCAGCTATTAAACCAGCATCTAATGCTGCCTTAAAGTCATGTTGGAATAATTATATTATTAAGATGAGCTTTCAAAATATAAAATGAAAAGCAAAAAGTACTTTAAAAAAGCAATCCATACAACTTGTGCACTATATTACTTATATAACTGAAGTCTGAAGGTATATTCTGTGTGAGAAACAACCCAAAATTTAAGATTACCCAGTAATAACCTTTACCTTCAATGAATTGTTAACTGGAAAACTGTATCAACCTGATTCATGAGTAATTATTCAGTTTTTTAGGCTTCAAAAAGTTCATAAAGACATGGATAAGTAATCCATATGTATTGAGCAGTTTAATCCAAGTCCTCGAAAGAAACATGATTGCTTTAATGGATGAACAGATTTAATTTAGGCTTTTATTTAAACATTGAACAGCATATAAACATTGAAATATGGTAAACATTCATTCTTGTGCGTCAAGGAAGCGTGTTTTTGAACTTCCGTTGACCATATTTGCTGTGCTCCATATATGTCCGTAGATCAATGTTTATATGTGAATAAAAGCCTAAATTAAATATGTTCATCACATAAAGTGAACATATCTCTTCAGAAGACTGAACTGCATGATTCATATGGATCACTTTTACAATGCCTTTATGTACTTTTTGAAGCTTTACATTTTTGGTTTCATGGACTCTCAAAGGACGGACAAAAATAATGATTTTTTTCATTTGTTTTCAGAAAATGAAAAAAAAAAAAAAAAGATTGGTTTTGTGACAACATGAAAATGAATAATGACAGAATTTTCATTTTTGGGTGAACTAACCCTTTAAGCTCTCAGGTAGGATCTCCCCAGGAGGATGTGAAGGTAGCATATACCTCCTCTTCCTTTTGTTTCTCATGCCACACCACACTGTGTTCTCTATGTTCTAAACACCACACTCTGCACTATGTTCTAAAGTCCATCTCTACCTCTACTATTCTTGTGGATCTGGATCTACCTGTCCCCGTATGTGAGCTGCAGCGGGGCAGCTGACCTGCTGTTCCCTGATGGAGTCTCCCAGCTCATCCTGAAGCAGCCGAAGTCTCTCCAGTTCCAGTTCTTGTGTATGTAGGCTGTCCTGAGCCCTCTGCAGCTGAGAGCGCAGCCGCTGCAGTTCCCCCTGCTCCTGTGTCCGACCTACACCCTGAGACTGAGACATTCACAATTTCTCACATATTAATATTAAAATACAGCTCCTTGAAAAGACAGTTGTGAGCTCATAGCTATGTATTTAACCACAGCTTTATTAAAATGTCATGCTTAATTCAGTTATCAATCCTGGAATAAAACACTATTAACCATATAAAGCCTACAGTATCATATCTGATACACAAATATTTAAAGCTCATAAATTATCAACATGACCAAAACTTTGCATAACAAACTGCTGTATGCAATCTATTACTCATAGCTATGTATGAGCTACTTTAACCACAGCTTTATTAAAATGTCATGCTTAATTCTGTTATCAATCCTGGAATAAAACACTATTAACCATATAAAGCCTACAGTATCATATCTGATACACAAATATTTAAAGCTCATAAATTATCAACATGACCAAAACTTTGCAGAACAAACTGCTGTATGCAATCTATTAGTAAAAAAGGAAAAAACGTCCTTTTTGATGTGAAATCTTTATATTTTTTGTAACATTTCAATATAAACACTTAATGGCCTGAAGCAAGTTAGGTTTATTTGATTATCCATACATAACTTATAAAAAAAAAAAAAAAATTACAAATTTGAGTATCAAATATATAACCCATCAGGTTTTTGAGAAACATTTATTTGTACATCTCTCAATCATTACTGTATTGCGTTGCATCATATGCAAAACTACAGAGCTTTCCTCATAAAACTAAGCATTTAAATATCAACTCACTAAAATGTTATTGAAAGATATAGTGTGATAATTCATATTTATATACAGTTTTTGAAGTAATAAAATTCATCAAATTTTGGAATTCTGACAAGCTATCAGAATTCCATCTTACAGTTTGGCTATATAAATATCAGCTGAATATTTAGCTCAATATTGAGCTCCTTATATTTGATTTGAGTCATATGTCATACTATATGAACCATAAAAGCCTGATCATAAAACATTTTTTTAAGCTTTTGTCTAAAGGGCCATTACACTGTTCCATAAAAAATGAGGGAGAGGGTCACCTGGATGAGCCCAAACTGTTCAGCCAGGTTCTTCCTTTGCTCCTCCAGTGAAGTCACTTGTCTCTGATACTGCAGTCTTTGCTGTTCCCAATCTGCTGAACGCTGACGAAACTCCTGCATTCACAAATAAATGTTCAATGAACTTGTTTGAACTAAAATTATTAAACAATGCTAAATAAACAAAAATGAAGTCAACTTTATTTTTAGCCAGTCTCTGTACCTCCAACTTGCTTTTGAGGCAGGACAGCTCAGTCCTGTCCTCCTCTCTGCTCAGAGCTCCTTCTCGTGCCTCCTTCAGATGCTTACGCTGTAGCTTTTCATAGCTGTGTTTCAATTTAGACAACTGTTGAGAGGAGTTAGTTGTTAACTATACTGATAAAAAAACAGTTGTAGTGACAAGCACGTTGTAGTGACAAGGAACAAAATCACGTCATACAGTGTGTTTTGTGAGTATAACAATAATATATACAGCACTGCTACCAAAAAAAAAAAAAAAACGCTAATCGTCCTTCATCTTTTACATGCTGCAGCTGTTCTTCATACTTCACGACCAGCTCTTGTTTTCCAGCTTGCATCTCATCTAGTTGTCTTCATCTTTTACATGCTGCAGCTGTTCTTCATACTTCACGACCAGCTCTTGTTTTCCAGCTTGCATCTCATCTAGTTGTTTCCCCAGCACTCGGATCTGGAGAACATAAGATCATGCTTATAAGAGCTAGTGTGAAATGCAGCTCAAACATGACACCTAGTGGAATGTAATCTCCTTACAACATAGACAGACAATGACTTTATTACAGTGGGTACGGAAAGTATTCAGACCCCCTTCAATTTTTCACTTTGTTATATTGCAGCCATTTGCTAAAATCATTTAAGTTAATTTTTTTTCCTCATTAATGTACACACAGCACCCCATATTGACAGAAAAACACAGAATTGTTGACATTTTTGCAGATTTATTAAAAAAGAAAAACTGAAATATCACATGGTC